AGAGAGAGAGAGAGAAAGACAGAGAAAAAGAGAGCACACATGCGTGACTAAGAATATATCTCTCGCATAAACAACAACGATGACGACGACGACGATACTCCTTACATCCAAGTTCGCAAGCGCTTGCCACATGTCGCCATTTCTTCTACCGAGAATCATCCCGATTCTCCTTTCCAAAATTGCGGAGGACGACCGACAGCCACGTTCTCATGCGAACATCACTTACCTGCCAAGGTTGAGTCTGCTGCTGTTGCTGTTTCTGCGGCTGTTGCTGCTGTCGACTCGGAAACGGGGGATGCTGCTGGGAGAGCGGCGAGGTCGCCGGGGGTGTCACCGGCGCCCAACCCCTGCCGGACGTCTGTTGCTGCTGGAAGTGCGAGGGCTGTCGCAGGAGTGTGCCGCCAGGACTAACCGGCGACGGGGACGATGGAACGGCGCTCTGTGTCGACGATCGTGCGACCGTCGAGGGCGGTTGGGGTGACGGACCTGACGAGGGACTGCTCTGGTACGAGCCAAGATCACCGTATCCACGGGTCTTACCGAAGGAAAACAGATAATTTTGTAGGCTCGAACGAACGCACGGATTTGATATTTGACGTTCCCAGAAACGAGAGGGATGATCGCATACGTGTCTGAGGGATGATGATACGCGAAGATGATTTGCGAAATGACGCGATATCTGTAGAGTCCGTTTATTTCTATAATTATTATTTATTTCATCTAGCTCGCTTTTTTAATATACCAAACACTCTCTAAGTTATTATTGTTATTAACAATTTGAACTGAAAATGAAAAAAACTGATTTAATTTTATAAAAATTGAGAATAGCAGAATGATAGAAACTAATTTAATAAACAATTAATTATTACTGAATTTTGTATTATTAATGCCGAATTAATACCATTAGATAGAAAATAATTTATAAAACAATATTAAAATAAAATATTTAAAAAAAATTATTGTCATACAAAGCGCGTGAAATATTTTGAAAGTGAGGATATATGAGATTTCTAATTATATAATGATTTTTTTAATTAATATTGAATTGATAATATTTATAGATTGGCCGTGATTCGCTCGAGCCAAGCACTGTTGATTTTATTAAAAGATGTGCCAATTTGATAATAATTTGCCTCGACGACCGCAATGGTGGGCGCGATTCACGCGTTCAAGAGATTTCGGATTTTGTTTACGATGATCTCGGATTTAGCGGATTTTTCTGACGATATTGACGATATTCACTGCGTGCACGAATTTGTTGCGAGTCAGAGATGGAATGATACTTCGACTTCTTGTTCGACAAGACGATGTTATATAAAATATCCATCGTTACAATTGTCGCAAGATTTTATTCGTAGCAATATATCACAATTGATTTTTTTTTTATTAGCCTAATTATCCCGGTATTTGATCTCGAGGAGAAGTGCTTAGAAATCGTGCTTCAATTTCATTAAAGAATAAGACAGCCAAGTTTGTCTGCTTAATTTAGAGATTTGCACTATATTTGCTCTCCATCTCTGCTCCAAGTAAAACAAGACTGATATGCATACACAAAGAGGAACGAGCGTGAACAATACATAAAAGAAACACGTAACGAACATCGTTGCACTCACTCTACACGCATGGCAAGATGCAGGAGAAGCTATCGCACTAATAAATGGAGATAAATAATACGACGAAAAAAATCCAAATACAACACGCCGACATTCAAAAGTGTCCGTGTCCTTTCGGTGATTCTTGAACACGTCACGATAATTGTAATCGCCTGTTCGATCATGTTTGCTTGTATTCTTATATGAAACGATGAATATTGGCACGTTAAGGGAAAGGACAGCAAATGTTCAAGTTCGAAAATTTTGACTTCTATCTCTAAAACTATATCATTTTTACTTTCAGTATTCATGCTAATATTGTGTTAGAAAAAGAGTTAGAAAAGAGAAAGAAATCATAAATTTTGTTTGCTGCTGCCTTTTGCCTTGTTCGAAGTTATGTAACGACGGAATAATGAAATCTGATTCTTGAACGCGAAAATATGTACATATGTCTCTAATTATTCGTTATATTACCTTCGCTTGGACGGGAGCTTGCTCCACGTAGTCGAAGTCTTGATCCTCTGGCGGTGGCCAGGTTACTCGTTTGAGACCTAGGATAATAATAGAGTTTTATAGAGATAAAGATCTGTAGGCGCTTAGATTGTACTAAGTTTCTTCGTTTATAAAATTACTATGTTTGCCAATGTATTTAACCAATTAAAATTAGAATCATTTGCTTAAACAATAATATATGAAAATATTACAAAAACATTACGTTTTTTTTTTATAAAGATAAAATTTAGATAAATTATACGAAAGTACTTTTGGATGCCTACGTTTGTAGACTAATATACAATTCAGAAGATAGAAAAGGTATTGAATTATCTCTTATTTCAAAATGTCGGAAGCCACAAATCAATTTCGAAAAAAGATAAAAAAAAGTTATATCACTCGTTTATCCACTATATCACAATTTCATCAATCATCGATGTCGCGTATACGCTATTTTAAGCACGAGCTTATTTCTCGCAATTGTCAAATCACTGTCATCAGTTTCCGTCAATTCCGACGCACTTGAGTCCAATCTTTAATCACACACGACAAATCGCGACGGTGTCACTCTTTCTGCTTTCATCATTCCACCAAAATAATATTAAATGACGTAGAACTTTAATTTAACTGTTGTGCAGTTCTCGGCATCATATATCGAGCGTGTGCCTCGCGAGCATGTCGCAACGAGCGATTACGACATATATATATATATATATATGGGGTCGCGCGTCATTAATCGCAAAGTGCGAGCACATATTTCCTGGCAACTAATAAACCCTCTATGCCTGGACTCTATGCGTCCACATACCGATACGATTCCCAGCGAGCTCGCTGGTTCAGCAACAGCGATGAGGAACGTGACCTTGCCAAAACGGATACCCGCCAACTACTAACGCTATGGCGGAGTCACCTGTACCTTTCATTATCGCGGAAACTAGCTGGCTACCGATTTTAGAGCCTTTCTGATGACTGGCCAAGGAGTGGGGCTTGACATTGTGCCCAATCAGGGAGGGGTGGCTCGCGCCTTTGAGGAGAGTCGCGAAAAATTTCCCGGGGGACACCTCTGCATATCGTTGCTTATGCATCTCAATAATGTGACATTGCAATATGTAATGTTAATATCTATGAACATAGATAATTATGTATAAATTATTCTAAAATAACATAGTCGTTTTTACGAACGAACAGTGTTTTAACGTTGGAAATATACAAGAAAGGCATTTACGGTCATGGCTTGGAATAAATGTAATAAAGAAAGCTTTATTACGTGTCGTTGTTAACGACTTGCGACATTAGCCAGAGCTATAATCCCAAGTGCGCCGTAATATTTCAATAATTTAATGATACCGATTAAAAATCCCCTCACAGAATATCTTATTACGAAAAATATCCCCCCCTCCCCAGCTTCAAACATCACAACTAAAATAAATAGCTATTTTAAAGAGTTATTCTAAAAATCTTAATAATTCTTGATATATACTTGATATATTCAAATATAATTATTATTATTTATATAATTTGCCATAAACTTTCCTCTCCTTTTAATAATAAGACACAGCATCTGGCAAAATCTTTATCAGGATTTCAAGAAACACGCTTGACATTCAGACAATGATTCTCCGCTCTAATTGGAAACAATTTTTAGGAGTGAATTAATGCGGCGTGTACACAAAGAGTCCTTTCTCGAGTACAACGCTCGATGCTTAGCGAAAACTGAGGGGCTCGTATGCTTTGCGAAAATGCGTTGCTAATCTGGTAAAGTCACGTCTTTGAGCCACGGCCAAAGAGTAACCGTTGTGTCATGCTAAATTGAAAACGTGTTGCCGACACGAAAACGATAGCGGCATTAATTCAGGGGGCTGCCATCAGGACTAAGTGATCGACGACTAAGTCGCCGCAAACAGTTCGCGATGATATTTGTATCTGTGAATCATCGCTGCTCCTCACGTGATGAAGCAATAGATTTCAGTATTTGTGAATCAACTTGTCGAAACTTAAAACTTACACGCGTCAACCGTTATTACCAAGTTATAGATAAGAGAAGAATATTATAATTTTTCAAATTTAAGTCCAACTCTACATTAGATTACATTATATCTTCTAAAAAAAAAAAAGTATTTCTTCACTTACTGGGTTGACCACCGCGCTGCCTCGCTTCTTCTTCTTCGAGCATACGTAGAACCGCGCTGTTCTGCAAGTTTGCTGGCTTAGCCAACTGGTTAAAGTCGATTCTAGAACGAAAGAATTGTACATTTTGTTACGTTAGTATTTCAAATGGTGCAGAAATATAAATTTCATTCGTTTGAGTAAATTAAAGCAATTGCTTCATTTTTACTCCACAAAGAGAATCCTACGAAATATGAAAATGACTCGTGTTCCCAATATTTACTTTTATATAGTCGATAATAGAATTTTACGAAATGTATGTTAGTTCGAATTGGAACGACGACTTTCTTTCTAATAGCAACATTTGAAACCGACTCCTTAAAACCGATTCCTCATGTATTTGCTACTTTTACTGCCAAGAAGATTCGCTTCACTCTCACTCTTGTATTCATGCCATTATCTCGTTATCAGCGAAAATCGAACAGTAGCATTGAATAGAATGCGAAACGAAAGATTCTCTGTCCGTCTACGGCTGACGGACGTGGAATCGCAAGCTGAAGAGTTGCCGGCTTGCCAAGTCGGCAAATAGGATCGCGGAACTTGTGGAAAGGGAGCTAGTAAAAGGGCAGACTTGCGAATTCAGCAGAATCCGCAGGTCTCGAGAGCCAGAATCGGCCGGATGATCGTCACCTTTCGGCGGCGATCATCTTGAAGGGATTTGCCCGTCGGCAGCGAGGAAGAAACGGCAACGGCAACGGGCGAAGCGACGCGCGTCCGCGGCACATCAAACGCGAAACTAAGTCAAGTACGAAGACGAGACGCGGTGGTGCACGCGAGAGCATCCCGTCGGCTCCTCGCGCAGGCCGTTTATTTCCAACCGGCCGGGTGATTCGGCCCGCCGAAAATAACCAACGTCGCGAACGAAATCGACGCCGACGGCTGATTCACGCGAATGTGTGTTGTCGCGGCTGTTGTCACGCGTTCACCGACCGACATCGGCCGATACGCGTACAATCGCACGACACACGACACGTGAACCCGCGGGCTGACGTCCGATGATTGACGCAAGGTGGTCGCCGCTGACTGGTCCGGATTCGCCGCGCGGTTTCGCCGCTCGTGAGTCAGTCCGAGGTCGACTTCCACCAAACTCCGATTAACTTCAGCGAAGATTAACTCGTCAAATCTGCATCTGTATTTTATTTTATTTTTGTTAATATAGAACTACTAATTTCCCTCGGTTGTACTTGAGGGAAAGTTAGACTAGAAATTGATTAGATTATTTGCTTGGACAAAGTAAGCTGTGCAATATAGTTAATAATGCTATTTATAATAAAATGTTTCTGCTGAACAAATTAATTATTGATTGAAATAATTCTAAGATTGATTTCGATAAAATTTTTTAAAATAACTTAACTGACTCATTGATTGATTTATTAAACAACCATTTTGTGACAGTCCTTTTTTAAAAGGAAAATGATATTGTTTTATTAAAGTTAAAATTATCAGTTTATAATCAGTATTGTTTAATATATGAAAAGATTTAATTAAAAATGATAAATTATCTAATTAAAAAATTTGGTTCAAGCAATTCTCTATGAATTAAATTACAAGTTAATTGAAATTTTGTCCAAAACAATCACGGAGGATCAAAATCTACGGAATGGATCAAAATCATCTGCTCCGTTATGTCCCAAATGGAATCAAAGGATGTTATTCAGATGAAGCAAGGCGATAAAATTTACGATAATCAATAACGATTAAAATTAATCGTTAATGATTGCTCCAAGATGTTTACAAGATAAGTATTCGTATCAAAATATTAAGACACGACGATATTACGTTTATCGCAAAAATTATTGAGATATTATATACTTTTGAATAAATATATTAATTTTTAAGATTATAAGATGATTCGAGCTAACGTTTTACATGTTCTATATATTTTTTATGTTAACTTACCCGACAGCACCGTTAGCCAGAACTTGGGTCTGTCTATCCAGCGTCTCTTGTATCGCCTGGGGCGAATACAGGTTGATAGGAGAGTTGAACTGTTTGTTCACAAATTTCGCTTTCTGGGTGGCCATGTTGGTGCCTCGATTGATCTACTCTCGAATTACTATAACATCGATAGACGTTATTGTAGAAAGGAAACACTAAATGATGTTTTAAACAATTCTCGAAATAATATAATCGTATCAATATTATTAACTAATGTTAAGTTTAACAATTTCATCTAAAGATCTCTGTAAAGCGAGTTCTTCGAAAGAAATATATTTTACTTCTTATCTTTGTAAATACGCATTGAAAATATGCATAATGCGGGATATATAAATAAATTGTATATCATTATTTAAATGTTGTTATACAGTTTTGATACTTTAATACAAGTTCAAGTCTTGTTTTTAAATGCGATAAATATTGAGTTTTATACGAAATAATTTTTAATTATGTACAATGCCATAGTATAATTGCCTTGTAATAATCCGACAATACAACAAAAATATCCCATCTGAAAACGTATTTTCCCTCATTTATCGCGAATCAGAAGGAATGGTATCACTTGTTATATAACTTTAAGTTTACGTTTCTTAAGCATATTACAAATGACACGCGCTCCATTAATCTGCCATCACTGCGCTATTTGCACGCGAATTCGGCCAGAATCCATCAGATCGTATGTATATATAATCTTACAAGATAAATATCTATCTTACGGATAACGCGCGCGCTTGCGAAAATTGAACGGTGTGATAAATAACAGAAGATAATTTTTCGTTTTACACCAGCCATGCGATATTTCTTTGATGTGCGATCGGGATGATATTTGTTTATGTTGGCACATTTCTCGTATCGATATGCAAAAAAAATACAAAATTTGTAAATCAAGAACACATTCGTTAAGTTTATAAAATAAATAAGAAAACATATAATAAGAAATCAGATTATAATTATTTATATAATTTTTTATTATTTTACGTTAAAGAATTTAAAAAAATCATTCTTTTCATCTTAATTTTCTTTTTATCATTATATTTTATAAAAATAG